CATATAGTCCCTTACTATATAGTGTAGTCAGGAGGCTTTGGCTTGTTATCTGTTGTCAAACAATGTGTGCAAGGGAGCATACAGAATATTTTTGTTCACCTGTAAAAACTATTTCTCTTTGTTACCACCATCAGGGAAATGTTTTTACAAGTTGTCCCTCAACTAGCTGCTTTTCTCAACATATTCTGCTTTCTGGTGGTTAGCATGTACAATCATCCTGCATTTATGTGCAATGGCTAAATGGGATATGTAGTTCTACTTCACCTCTTGTTGCCCACCTATCTTTTATTTTTTTTTAAACCACTTTACACTTCACTAACACCAGTATAAATGCACCAAAATGTGAAAGCAGAGTCTGATCAAAACCAATTCTCCAATCGGCAATTTACATACTCACTTCTGCAACTGCTATATTTAGCCGTTGTTAGAGAAAATAAGAAAAATGAAATTGCTGAACAAAAAATGATTGAAGCCTTATTACAGCAAAAAGCTAGATTATTGTGTAGGGCTGATTTTTTAGAATATGTACCCCTTTCAAATTCTAAAAATGTATGTCTATTTTAGACATTTGCAAGGCATTTGGCAAGCACTGCTCAGAAGATGATAGTGAAACTTAATTTTAACATTTGAAAAGCTTAGCTTAGGTCAGAAATTGAAACGTGTTTGAAAAGCTCAGCCTCTGCTGCAAGGGACATATTTGAGAATCATGCAAGTAACAGGAATGAATTTCTGGCAATTTCCACTAATGAGAGCATAAACATAAAAATTACATGTCTGTGCCAAAGCCTGAGGTCCAAATTAGTTGGCTAAGCCCATTGTATGACCATTTTCGACATTACCAGACAGAAGAACACCGGTTCTAACAGGTGATATTCATGCTTCAAATTCAACATTATGTTGAGTGTTGTCATAATCTCCCCATTTCTGTATCCAAAAATCTATAACCCTTGTTGTCCAAGGCTAAAGGTGAAAGAGTCTACAGGCTCAGATCATGGTTCTTCCTCTCGGTCATTTTTTGCATCATTCTTCTTTCCCAGAACTCCAAGTGAGCATTCTGAGGGCTCCTATAGAGAAAGGTAAGAAAGGAAGCAATCGGAAAGGACAAAGTGTGAAACATAGCTTCTTCTCATCCTTCCTTACCTACTGTTGAACACATGAATCCCAGGACCTGGCCACTGGCTGGGGAGGCTTGAGAAATTAATGTGGCTGTAATAACATTGCTAAAGGATGGAGGGAGGTGCCAAGAACCTAAAGCAGAGGTGAACACAGAAGATCTAACTCCACACAGATGGTTTTGGAGTCTGGAATCCAACAAGTCTCAGATTATTTCCATAGCCTATTCTGCATCAGAGTAGAGAAAGAGCAAGATTCACCTGCACTGAAACAATTCAGGAGACATTTCCATATGGAAATCCTTTGGGAAGTATCTCCATCTTAGCCTCTTCCCTAGAGTTTCTTCTGCTAGAGGGGACAATCAGGCCCAGACATATTACATACAGATTATCCACTTAATCTCATTTCAGTATATCTCCTCCTGTACTTGTTCCAAACAGACAAATGTATCTTCTGTTGACTGCTACATAAAAAGGTATCCTATTAAAGCCTAACCTTCAAAATCAAATTTTCCTTATAAAAGAGAAATATATTTGATGGAGGAAATTGCAACTAAATTAAGATCAGCATTAGATAAACAAATCCTTAAATGGCTCCTAGCTATTGATTTACTTTCTGAATTGATTTCTCTGGCTCAGAAGTCACACTTGGTAGGGAACACGTATTTAAACCTTTGGGTTTGGTCTACACTAGGGAAATCTTTCCCAAATAGTCCAATTTTAAAAGAAATTGGAACTGTTGTTTGGGTTTCGCTAAATTTTGGAATCAAGTAAGAACTGTTTGTTTGTTTTTTGGTTTTTTTTTTTGGTTCCTCATCTGTCCAAGGACTTGAACTGGCTTTTAAGCAAGAACTCAAGAGCCCATATTAAGAAGCAATGTCACTTGCAGGAGCTCTGAGCAGCACTGATCCCCTGAGTTCACAGCCTTACACATCAGTACTGCTGTTTCCGGGATTTTTATCATATTTCTTTGAAATAATTGTTTTTTTGATACGTGCTGTTCTTACACACTAAACTCATGCAACATTTGATGGGTACAGGTTGCAAGTGTTTTAACATAGTGCAGGTATTTATGAATTTGTGTCCCAATACATAACTTCAGAAGGTTAAATTCTTCTTAAATATATAGAAGCTCCCAGACTTTCTAGGTAGTATTGTCAATACCATTGTTCCGCATTAGGTCTTCAAGTAAATTTCTGTTTAAGTATAACTTCTGTTAACATGCAAGATTGAAACTTGAACTTTTAGCCACATTTCTTTTGGTGAATATTTTAAGAATACATCCTGAGTAATTTTATAAAACTGATGATGACTACACACTGGGATCAAACATTTGTTACTTTCAAAAAGTCTTTTATTGTAAATCCAGAAAAAGTGCAGTATTAACAGGTTCTCTACAAAGAAAAAAAAAAAAAAAAAAAGTATTCTGTAGTACAGTATGAAATGGACAATCTTACAGTTTTTCTTTAACTATCTTGAAAGCTGTTATGTAACTGCATTTTGATGGGCACAATTGCAAGGTTTCTATTAAATAACAGTTGTATTTCCTGGAGGGGAGACTCTTTTAGTAGCAAAAAAAAGTTTGCAGAGTAGGCATTTAGCTCTGCTTTCTCCAGTAGATGTCACTTGCAGTTCATAATAATTCATGTAAAGAAGTTAGAGTATATAGAAATGCATGCCTTTCTTTGAAATATGAAAGCCAAATTAAAAACCCATTTTGGTGCCCTGTGTATGCAGTAAGTCTGGCATTTGGTTTATTTTAACAGATGGCATTGAAATAACAAAAGGTAAAGCATTTTTGTTTCCAATTGATCTGTGAAGATTTTGTCTCTCTCTCCTGTAATTTGAAATAACAGAAGGAGATAAATTTACTTGTTGACACACAGGAAGTCTGGGTCACACATGATCTAATATTGTATTGACAACTAGGATTTGGCAATTACCAGATTTGCTCTAAAGAGAAAATGTATTATGTAATTATTTTTTATTTCAGAAGTATTAACATTTTGGATGAAATGTAGTAGAGAAAAATTATAGGACAAGTATCCCAACAGCAGAGCTATTTTCTTGTACCAACAAAAGAGATATTGTGGAGAATATTGTGTATTTAAGGAAAACTGTCTTGTGTTATAGGTAATTAGAAAAGTAAGCAACATTCTAGGAACTTCCTGTATGATTGCTATTCATATTTCTGCTCTTTCTTTTATTATAATAATAGTGTACCAACGCTGTCTTCAATAGAGTCACTATGGGCTTATATACATGGTGAAAACTCATCTTCAGGCAAGCAGTGCCTTATGGGTGCATTGTGCCTCCATAGTTTCAAGGGCACTACTGATGGTGAATTATCTGTAAAGGTTCACATTTTATAGCTCCCATTGTTTTACTTGTCTCTACCTGATATATATGCTGTGCCTCTAGAAACTAGGATTTAGAAGCTGGTGGTTCACTTGCTGGCTGATCACAGTGTTTGATGTGATCTTTGGAGCCATACCTCTCTCTCTGCTTCCCTCTGTCTTTCCTTTCATTTGGACTGCTGTATTAATTTCCATTCCATTCACTATCATGTGGATGAGATAATTGAGAATTCCAGGTTGGGACTTTGGTGTTCTCCTTTTTTTATTCCTAGTAAAATCCCAGCATGATTTCTAGGAGACAGAGTTTCCCAGAATAACCACAGCCTAGTTTAGAAGGGGGGATAAAAAAGTAGTTATGCTGTCTTCAGCTCATTCCTCTATCCCCCAACTCATTCCCCTACCTTCTCTAGGCAGCCAAACACAAAAACAATCTTTATGTGTTTTCAGAAGGAATGTGTACCCAAGTAGGCAGCAACCACAGAGATGTGGACATGAACTGTACTGTAGTATCCTTGCCCTCCCCTGCAAGAGACTTGAATAATTAAAATGTGGATAAACCACTGCCTGCTCAGGAAAGAGTCTGAGGAACCTGCCATGGGAGAGTAGTGGAGACTATTAAACCTTTGTCCCTCATCCCTGAAAAAAAACTGGTGTATACTGTGATTAGAAGGAGAAATTTACTTTCCTTTACTTAGAGGCACACAGTTACAGCTTTGACAATAATTTATAATGTAAAGAGACAGTAACTTTGTCTTTTAAAGGATTGAAGGTGGTGTGCATTACTGAAGGTGAAAGAGGTTATGAATAAACAAAACCCATAAGATTAAATAATCTAGAGATTTAAATCTAGAGATGTTCTTGAACAGAGCTCATAAAGTTAATATAACAGGCACATATTGGTTCCTCTTCATCAGAGGATCTCACATTCTTACAAATTCCATTCCACAGCAAAACTACACTTTGTGAGCTTCATTTTATAGATATGCAGACTTATAATTCATCTCTGATAAAGCTGTCCAATCAGTGAAGGAGCCAGAAGGAAATCTAAAAATGGTGATTTCAAGCTCTCTGGTTTACCAGATAAACTTTCCCACCTGTTCCTTCTAAGGGGAGATTCATTTCTCTCTCCACAGGTTCTGAAGGTTAGAAGGAATGTCCCTGAAATGGTAAGCTAGCCTTTTACATTCCTAAGTGGCTCTTTTGAACTTATCTATTGTTTATTTATGCTGAGGAATACTCAGATTTAAAGAATTTATTGTGAAATCCATTCTGAATTTAAACATGGCACATACAGGTATCTTGTGATATTGTGATGGCATGAGAGACGCATCAGCTTCTGACAAGCTCATCTAGGGGATTGAGGAGGACATGAGGTTATCCCTTTTCTCAATTATTCGACATCTGGGTTTCTCCTTCTACAGTGTTTTGACACAAGTTAATTGCCAGCTTCATTCATGTGAGTGGATGCTTTTAAACAGAGCACTGCAAGAAGTCATGTGCTTCTTCTTCTTAAAGAACCAGAGCACCCTATACCATTTCCAAATTGACATCCCTGCTTGGTTTTGCTATCAGTATCAGTAAATATATATATTTAGCTTCACTTGACCTCTTGAAGCTTCATCCGTCATGCCAGAGAGTAAGGACGTCACACTAGATGTAAAGGACATTGAAGAAAAGGAATTGTTTAATACAATTAGAATGAGCGTTGAGTAATCAAAATATAAACCTTTAGTAAAAATAGTAAAATAGAAGTAATTTCAAATGAGCAGATAACTTCTGGCAGTTTTGTCTTTTGGTTCTGTGTTCTCATCAACTTTTTAAGCCACTCCATTTCAAATATCCACAGAACTCACAAATAAGACAGCAGATCCAATACTTTATCAATGCTTACAGCCAGAGAAATGAAAAAGCTCTGATTTAAATGGTAAGGCTGGCCATCCTTCAAGCTATCATTCTTTTAAATCCCCATGCTCCAGCAATTTGCTCTGAGACTTGCAACTCATCTGATTCCCACTTCTGAGAACAAAATTCTCCGAAATAAGTAGATAACCTCCACTGGCTATGATTTTATGACAGTACTTTGATTAGCAGGTGATCCTTCTACTGAAGTCAAGTGAAGTAAGTAATTATTCTATTTTACGGTATTGCTGTTCAGGTATTGTTGACAACTGAATTTTTTGTCATGCTAAGCAACATAACAGCGGAGATTGGGTAGTTGGAAACAATAACTCTCTTGGGGGAAAAAAAAAATTAAAAAATGATGTCTGGTCACTTTATACATGGCAGGTCTCCAAGTACATGCTGAATTGCAAAAATATAACACATTCAAAAAGAATATTTATGTGCCCCTTCCTCACAACATGTGCGTTATTTTTCTCCCATGTCACAAAAACTGTAGCCACAATTTACAAGTATATGCACAATCAAATTGCTATTGATTTAGCAATGCCTTTCTTTGATGTCCCTTGCCTTAACCTCATTTATAAAGCTGTTTTGCATTATTTCAAACTGTCAATGATTTGTGACTCATGAATATTCAAATCTAATTTGCACTTACCTTTTTTGCATGCATGCTTACTTGTAATATGTCTCATTTGCCCTTTGTTTCGTGTTTATTTGCAGATTGTTTAGTGAAGTAAACTCTGTTTTTAAAGTAACAGCATCTATTTATACACAAGTGGTCCAATTCTCACCTTAGTACAGTTTTATATCACTGTAACTCCATTAACTTCAATGGAGTTTCTCCTGCTTAAGTAAAGAGAAGAAAAATGAGGCCCAAGAACTCATTCTGGCTGTTTTCCATCTGCTCCCAATTTCACATCAACATCATTTAGCATGTTCCATTGGAATAATAATATTGTTATTTAGTATTTTATTCAGAAAGAAATATCAAGACTAAATCCTCTCATCTTAATATTTCAAGCTCTAGGACAGTTCAGATCTTCAGATCTGAGTAAAAACTAAGAATTCATTATACTGACTTATTAGTATTCCCTTATAACACAGTACTTTATTACCAGAAAATAAAATACATATATTACTTTTGGCTTATTTCTGTGGCTAAGGTAAATTCAGCAGAATAACCCCTAAGTTTAAGAATGCTGATATAATAATATACCATTTCCCAGATAAATAAATAAATAAACAATTAAATAAACCATCTAGAAGTGTGATACCTTCACACTGCACAGTGTGTCCCAAATCTAGCTCTTTGTGTAAAAAAAAAAAAAAAAAAAAAAAAAAATTAAAAAAATCAGTTGAGCTGCTAGGTGCCCATGGAAAGCAGGGCCAAGATCCTTATATGTTTTTGTTTGCTTGTTTGTTTGTTTTTCCCCATTTATGGAGGATTATATAATCAAAGCAATGCCTTTCTCAAATACTAAGGATCTTGCTAGATGTTTATTTCTGGAACAAACAGTTACTGTGAACATATTGGCTGCAGACAGGACCTTCTTCAATGAATGAAGTCTGGAAACAGCAGAAAAAATAAATTCACTTTTGGATCAAACCGTATGATCTCCCTTCAGTCCCCAAAGCTGTTTTTCAGAGGAAGCGACCTGAAGTTCAGCTGGGGGAGGGGAAGAAAGGCAATTGATTATTTTCAATAATGTTTGAAAGCTGAAATTAACCTATAGTGACAAAACTGTTTATGTTCCAGGGCTCCTACTGCAACTCTATGAAGCAGCTCTGGGGGTTTCAGATGGGTCTTGTTCTGATCATGTTTGTGGCCATAAGTGAACATTAAAGCAAGCAGGATTTTTCTTTGAACAAATATTAGGTGAATGTATTTTCTTTATGGATCAAATCCTGCATTATCAAATGGAATGGAGCAGAATCAGACTTTCTATGAATAACTGCACAAAACAAAAGCATGCATACACAGGCAGGAATATATGTTGTGCACTTTTATTATTCATTTAGTCTCCTGTTTAAATAATTTCATCCAACCTATTGGGAAATAGAGCAAGTGTGATAAGTGACTAGTGACACATCAAGAACAATGAAATGAAAAGCCCAAATGAACATATTGTAAATGACTTTTAGGCTGGAAACTGTTTGCCTAAGCTATTCTTGGTGAATATTTCAAGGTAAAGAGCACTTTCCCTCTGAAGATTCATTGTACTGCCCTGATACGATGTGGGGTTCCCAACTGGGAATAAGAGATCTGAGTCCAGAAAATAAGATTGCGTTCATCCAAGAGTTCAGGTCAAATGAATACTTTTATCAGCTCTTCCATAAAAGAGAAAAATATTTCAAATGTTTATTTTTAGCTCCTTACATGAATAATAGAAATAAAATGACTTGAGTATTAAATGTGAAGCAATTTGTTTAAAAAAAAAAAAAATCTCATATATAGGTTAATAATTGTATACAGCTTAGTATGTGGAATGTGTTTGTTTTTTTTCCAAGAACACCAGGATCGTGGTTTTAAATGGCATGTCTCAGCTGTTGTGAAGTCCAGGATAAAGCCGTGTCCCCTCCAACACTAAAGAAATAGTATTATCCAGTATGACACATGCCTAGATATGTCTGATTGTGATCATAATATAGCCTTAAGGTAAGAGCACAGGACGACCACTTGTATGTTATTTTTTCAAAGTTGTTTATTTTTATCTACATCAAATAAAAGCTTCTGCTAGAGCTATTTATGCTGATGATCAGTAGGACTATTAGTGATTGTTTATAAATGTATATGAAGTAGTGAGAGACATTTTTTAAATTTAGCATGTACTTAAAAATGCAGCATATTAGTACATTGTCACATAATGATGTTTCATCACTGAAAAAAAAAAATATATATATATATTCATATTGAAAAACACATTGGAAAGGAATGTACTGCTATAACACAAGAAATACTCAAATAGCATCAAACAAAAATCTGAGCTGTGAATCACCAAAGTATGAATTAAAGAACAGGTCTCTTGTGCAGAAGACTTACTGCAAGGGTTGTGCTTGTCCACGTTTACCCTCAGTAGGAGCAGCAAAGCCAAGTACTTTGCAAAATCACTTGGCAGAGCCTTGTCCTGCATCCTTCATTCAGGTGGTTCTCCTGCAGTCAACAGGACCTAGGCCTGAGGATATTGAAGGCTATCAGCATTGAAAGCACTGCAAAGATTCATGGCCTAGAGTTGATTTTCTTTGAACTTTTTTGTTCCCTCTGCAGGTGAGACCTATAGAGTGATGGGCAGCCCTTCTAATGACTGGGGATTTCAAACAGTAATGTGGCAGTATCTTCTTTTGGACCTAGGACCCTTAGACCTCTTGTTGTGTAGTCACATGCCACAGGACAATTTCCTTTCTGACATCCTGACAGTAAAGTCAGTAGTGATACAGCACAGATGAGTTTTGCTCTTTGACTTTATTGGCTAACTGTGATGGGGAAAAACGTGGTGTGTGGAAGTATGTAAACACATTAAGATGGTTAGGCATACACTTTAGACTTAGGACACGTTCGGAGTTAAGAGCCTTCTCTGCCTTTTAACACCGATACAAGAAGAATATCCCATCTAATTCACTGTGACTACGGATACCCAGATTCTTTTGTTCTAACATGGAAAACCTGGTGATGTCTGAGAACTTGCTAAGCCTGCATCTTGTTCTTCTGCTTCCCTTTCATTGATCCTGTGTGACCATTTTCTCTTGTGAGAAATGGATCCTCCCATTCTCTTGCGGTGTAATTGTGAATCATCCCGCTCAACCTGCCAAGATTCAAGTAGAAGAGTAAGATTTTCAAAACGGTGAACAATGGAAGAAAAAGTAAAATTGGAACCATCATGGAGGGTTCACCTTCATAAAATAATTTGTATTAACTAATGTATGCTTCTTTGCTTACCTTATACCTGTGTTTCATTGTCTTGCATTAGTGAAGTAATTAATTTAGCAGGAGAGATGAAAGGAGCCAAAGAGATGACAGCAGGCATGTGTGAGAAAGAAGTCAAGTGTAGGTCTGTAATGGTGGGCAGCTGAAAAGCATTTCCAACATGCATTTTGTAAATGTGAAGAGAGTGTGATGGAGTGCATAGAGAGGAGCTGGAGGTGTGGTGTCTTTTCTGCTGCCTCATCAGTGATTGTGTACTGGGTATCTTCTGATAATATACAGGAAGGGTTAAGCCTCAGAGCCCACTGTAACATATCTGATCTTCTTCTGTACCTTTGACCATTTGCAGGGAGGGGTTAAACTAAAACCCCTTAAACTAAAATGTTTCCTGCTTGGGGGGTATATGTATGTTCTTCTTTTTCGACCTAAGGCTTCTTAGGGGAAATCCTGTATCCAAGGGCTGTTTTGAGAGCTGGGAGTACTGCACTAAACCTCTGGGGCAAATGTTTGCATTGAATCGTTGAAAGAATCTGAGATTGGCAACGCCACCCTGCCCTTGGCTAATGAGCCTTCCCCGAGAGAATATCAAGTGCAATTACCTTTCAGGGAATAACAACATACCAAAGAACCATGGACCCTGCAGAGAAAAACGAAATACACATTCGTAGATAGAAACAGCTATGAATCAGCATTAATTATCCAATAGAGGGAAAAGGGTTGCAATAAGTCTCGGTTCCTGACTCACACCATAGATCACAGCCAATGTGGGCTACTTAGAGAAAAAACATTTGCAAAGTTCAGCCTGCCCTAGTCCCCTCCCCTCACACGTTCGCTTCTTCGCTCGAGTCGCGGTTGGGGGCTCCGCTCCTGGGACGACTTTCCCGACCTCCAGTTTGGCGACGGCTGCGAGAGGCATTCGGGGGGTCTAGTGGCGGCGAGGGAGGCGTCCGACGCCAGCGGGACGGTTGAGCTGATGCTAAGGCTGAAGCCAGGTTCCCCCTGTGCCGACGGGGCCGGAGACATCCAGCTGCCCTCGGAAGTCCTGGGAGGAGGTCTGGCAGCCTGCCTTTGGCTTCCCAGCTGGGGGGACCACGTCCCCCCACGGCTCGCTGTCCGGCACATGCAGCAAGGGGGGAGAGTCCCGGACTGTTGGCTTTTATTATGCACATTCCTAGGAAGGAGAAGGCGGGGGAGGGTAGGGGTGGAGGGTGAGGGGTGCACATATTTGGGTTCGAACGATTGGAAAAACATGTGAAACCGCATGTCCAGAACCAGCACCACTCAAGGATGCCCCTGCGGCAACCCGGGCGTGTGCCTTTGTGCCGGGGCGCATCTTCCTGGTGCGGCCCTGCTCCGCCTGCAGCCAGCCCTGCGCGGAGCCGGCGGAGATTGCCTTGCGCGGCCCCGGGGCCCCCGCCGCAAACTCTTCGGACGTGAAACCACCCCGGAGAAGGGCCGGCTGCTTTGCTGAAACGAGGCGCACATATATTGAGTTTGTCAGGGATCATAAAATGTGAATTGATTATTCAAACAGCCATTGATTATAAAAGAATGCTTACTGCAGCAATGGGAAAGGTTAAAAGGAAATTGACCCTCTGCGTACGTGACATAAAGTCATTAGGTAAATGAGATATTCATACGGGGTATAATCAAGGTCATGCTAATTTTATTTGCGGTGTTCCACTCGAGTCTCGAGCTTCGTTTTGGGGCCGCAAATTGTCCCCGGGGGAATTAAAACACCGGGTAGACCCCAGGTGCCGTAAAAATCAAAAATAAAAATAACTAAAAGGGAAAATAAAAAAACGTACTTGAAACCCGAGGAGGGCTGCAAATTGCCCCGAAGTCCTGCTGTGGCCGCGGTGGGCCCGAGGCTGAGCCCCCGCCTTGGTGGTGGCCCCAGCGGGCGCGGAGGGGCGCGGAGCCCCGCGCAGCATCGGGCCTCCCTGCGGGGGTGCTGGCACCTCGCCGCGGCCGGGCGCCTCCTCGGAGCCGGGGGAAGAGCTGGAAGTGCTGGCGATGTCAAAGATCCTCGCCTCTCCCAGACAGGATGAGAACGTGTAAAAAAATTAGATGTATTTATGCACATATTTATCCCCTCTAATTACAGAAATTAATCCTCTTACTTATGACTAAAAGGTAACGTCTAAGGCGTCCCTTTGATGTTTAACAGCATCGTTTGTGGCTAACATTCCGACTGATTAAGGAATAATTGTTGTTAAATGCTTTACAAGTGGATAGTGTTTAATTGAGAGGTATTCATAATTTTACGGCTTACCACAAAATGAAACGTAATTAAAAACGCAGGAATTTCCAACTGATTTTATTCCAATTATGTTTATTGTTCAGACTAATTATCGCACGAGATGGGGTACTTTTCCCCAGCCCTACACGGCACGCGTCTCCCACATACACCCGGGCGGGTTTTCTTTTCCAGGTACAGGCTTGGGGCGGCTTTCTGCAGCCTCCGCTCCCCCATTCTCCCCCGCCTCCCATTGTAATTAAATGCTCCAGCCTTTTCTTCCCTCCTCCATGCAACACCTTGGGATGTGAGAAAGTGATGGCAGCTCTCTTCCCTCAGAGCTCCAAGTAATTGTAGAAGGGCTGATGAATTTCTTGAAGAAACACTTGCCACACACTGAGGAAACCATCTCCTAGCAGGATTTTACAAACCAAAGTAAACAAAGCACCCCAGGGGCGATTTCCTCCTTTTGCGCAGCTTACTTCTCAATTTACCTCAGAAGCGCTCACAAACACACACAAGAATTACAGCAGAAATCAAAATTGGTCTGGGAAAGATATTCCGAATGGAGACAGGCAAAGTGATGGGAAGTGTTCAAAGCAAGGGACGGTCATTAAAATACCTGCCAGGCGCGCTGCCGTTCCCCAAACCAACCTTGCCTTCTTCCCCTTGAACTCAGAGCTCTGTTCAGCATCTCTTTAAACACACGTATGCCTGGGAAGGAGAAAAAGACACACACACACAAGAAACACACACATGGACCCGCACCTCGGGTCCATCTTCCCAACGCCTTTAGAACAACCCCAGCCTCCCGAGCCGGCGGGGAGGTGAAGTTACGTGGCCAATTTCACTGTTTCCTCGATCGAAGAAAGTTGGGTGTGGAAATGGATCTCTTTATTCCTGACTTTCTCCATCCCTCAGCTGGGCTGTCGGAGAAAATCAGAAAGGGGTGCCTGAGAACGCTCCGACACCAGATCAGCGCGGACAGGGACAGTGCATACCCCTAACAGGGGCTGGGGGACAGGGAGCATATCACGTCCCTTCCTGCTTCCAGCTTGAGCTTTTCCTTTGGGCTCCAGCCCGTTAAGGAAGGAGTATTTATGGCTCCTTTTGTTTCCTCCTGCCCACCAGCACCAAACCTCTGGAGGGTGCGCAGTCCGGGGGCTGCTGCCCTGCGCGGCAGGCTTGCGGCACTCACAGGTGTGCTTTGGCTTGGCTGTGTCTCTCCGTATAGTTTCTCGGGTCTCCGGAAGGGTTTATTCGAGGTGTGACAGTAGAAGAGTGTTTAAATTCTGCTGGGGAAATAAGGGAGGTGGAGGATTCCCTCTTATGGCAAGTTAGGAATAGCCTAAGCTTTCCAAAGGGATGTTTAAATGGGACTTAATGGAGCAATATCTCTACTTTTTTTTTTTTTTTTTTTTTTTTTTTTTTTTTTTTTTTTTTGCTTCAGCTAGGAGTCCTGAATCCTTTCATTAAACTGACATAGATTTCCAGAGATGGGGAAAAGGAGGGGTAACTGGGGTGGACATTTTATGCAAATGAGCAAATCCGAAATGTATTACAAATCCACTGTAATAAAACTGACAGTTTTGACAGTATTGACAACATAAATATATGTTGGAACACAGCACTTTCAGACACTTAACCGATGAAGCAATAAAAAGATTCGACTACAATATTTCAAATAATCGACATTGATGTTTTGATACATCATTTTTATACCTCGAATCGATCTATCACTCTGTGACCGGTCAATTTTAAGTAAAAATCTGCTGCAATTATTTACGCTATTGCCAATGACGACCTAATAACTGTTTTCAATTAATTACAGCAAAACTAAGCATTATGAGGACTAACCGGCCGTATATTCCATTGTATGGTCCCTTGCATTTCTTGTATGGAGAGCAAACACATATATGTATATTGCATTCTCTTTGTGGGATCAAAAGAAAGACGTACAAAGGCGATCACAATCTTTTAGTGAAGAGAAAAAAAAAAATCTCTGTCGGGAACACACCATGGGCTCTCATCACGCACTTCTAGAAAACACAACTATAATATTTTGTCAGCTCTTTCCCTATGCAATACCAAGCCGGGCTCCTAAGATTTTTTTTTCCCTTTTCTCTTTAGGCTGCGCGCTGATTCCCACTTCAAACAATGGGCCGAACAGCGCTTTTAAAAAAGGGAGATTCGTGCTTGGAGTGATCGCATGTGTTATGAGAGTCGCCGTAACATTTCAAAG